AGAAGATTTCTAGAGAGATCATTGTCATTCTTAATCGCCTGAGATCCGACCACTACAATCTTAACTTCAGCTTATACCGCAAAAATCTTTTTGAAGAACCCTCTTGTCCTTGCGGATCGCCGCGACAAGATATTATTCACCTGATTTATGATTGCCCTTACACTTATGTCCAAGCGCGATATTTAAGACGCATTATTGACCGCATCTCGAACGCCGGGGACAATGTTAATAAATTCGCGCAGGTCATCTCTGACCCGTCAGAATGTGTCAGCCGCCTCATTCTCAATCTTTGCAAAGCTTGTAACAGGCATTTCTGAACTCGTATCTCGCGCCTTCCCGCGACCTGCGCAGGCGCTATGCCCTGCCTCCGTCCACCCCTTCCCATCCTAGCGAAGCATTCTGCTCCGCTTGACTCGGTCGCGCGGTATACTAGTTGGAGCCATGGGGGTGAAGCTAGTATTAGGTAATGGGAAACAAATATGACACAAGTAATTTCGTTTAATCAAGACGTGATCTGGCCATATCGACCTCCTTTTGTTGTTTGGAGGCGGGAGCCATTAAGTAATAATAAGAAGAAGAAGAAGCTTGGTGACGCGAGGTATGCGGGACGCGGGCTTACACCGTTTACACGTGTTGTTCGCGCGACGCGTCGCAACGCGAGGAGCGATACGTCGCCCCGAGATGTGCGCTTTCTGCTTACACGTGCGATACGGCACGACTTCGACTGTCGGGAGCGTCCGACGGGGGCGGGCAAAAGCCAACCCCCTGGTTCTTGTCGAAGCCGGTCGCGTATCGCGGAAAAGCGGAACTCTCGGCTCGGTCGCTTTGTTGCAAGGCTCTCGAAGCGGTCGCTGCAGCTGGTCGGAAACGGCCGACAGAGGCAGGGCGAGACCGGTAAATGCCGGTAGTGGCGGAGAACACCCTCACCACCGCTGCATTGCTCAGGATATCGGATCTAGGAATCGGTCGGTGTACCAGGAGCTGGATCAGGAGCAAAAAAGCCCAAAATATTCTTTCACCGGGCTTTTATACCGGATTGTTGCTCCCGCTCGTATTGTTCCGGAATCATTCGGTGACTCTCGGCGTGGAACAATACGAGCGAGAGCTGCGGCGCTCGGCGTCGTTCGGCGACGTTCGGGTTTCGTGGACTTGCGAGTTCACGCGGCCTGTAATTATGTTTGTTTTATAAAATGTGTCGAGCGCACCGCGCTCTCATCGCGTACGGTGACCGGGGGTCACCGTAGCGGCATCCGGCGAGTTGGCATTGCCGGGAACGATGCATTTATGGGGGTGCATCGTTACAACTGCTCAGTTAAAAACGGTTAATTGTTCCGTGCCAACTAAATGTGAATCAGATAATCTCATCTCACACCACGAACAAGGTTCAGCAAATGAAAATAACGATTTACAAACGTGGACTGAAATTAAAAGAGATCTGAAAGGTCTTAATCTTAAATCTGATTACTGGGTTCCCGTGATCACAGACGAGATGGTAATGTGGACTTACTGGAAGGAAGACCTTTCTTCCTGTATACGGCGTGTTATACTTGAGAAAAATATGATACTTCGTGTAAGTATTTATTATTACTTATATTGCAAAATTATGAATACAATCTTTCATATTACACATTGTATTACATTTGAAATTATCTTTTAATGCTGTCAGATTTATATTGGAGAAAAAGTAATTGAATGTCTGGGAGGTAAAATAAAAAGTATAGAAGATATTCAGTCTATTTTTCAAAAATTATCAAATGTCTATCCATGTAAGGAAGTCGGCAGTAAAACCTGGTACTTGTAAATACTTATTTATAATCCACTATGCATTAAAATTTTTTTAAATAATATTTTAATGAATAGCTTTTTATTTATTTCTTTTTATAATTGAAAATACACATTAAAACATTTTTTACATTTTCATTTATTATATTATCATTCATTTTATAGTGCAAAATTGTGCGTTGGATATGTAATAAGAGACTGCTCAGTAGGTGGTATGCAGCGCCAGAAATGTATTCAGTGTGCGAAACATTATAGATATGTACTTAAAAAATCGAAGCTAACACCACTGAAAAGATTGGCAAGAAGCGATCCATTTCTTCATATGAAATATAAAAACGTTTTACGGAAAAATTTAAGACTTCAGAAGAAGGTAAACTTTTTCTAAACATCCGTTATTGAATATTCTGAACATTAAGGGTATATCCACACAAACTTGTATAGCCGCATAAACAAAGAAAATTATCCAATCACATTTGAGACTGTTTTAATAATTTGTGGCGTATTGTTGCAATATTTTTGAAATGCAGATTATACGTCTAAAAAAGAAAGTAGAGTGTACAAGAAAGAAATGCGCTCAGGCAAATACACAGGCAGTGGAAGACGTTATATCAAAATTACCTATTAATCAGCAATTGTCTGTTCAAGCATGTCTTACAGCTTCTAAAGCAAAAAATAGTAAAGGCATAAGATACACGACACAGTGGGTGTATGAATGTTTGTTATTGCGAATTAAAAGCAAGAAAACGTACAATCATCTTCGAAATTATAACATTCTTACCTTGCCATGTATTGACACGTTAAATCGGTATTAAAGTAATTAAGGGTTGCTACGGGTTCCAAGAGAACACGTTTAAACTGTTAGGAAAAAAGTGCGAAAATGGAACCATCAGATGTGCGTGGTATGTTAATTTTGCTAAATTGCTAACATCATGTATGTACATATGGGGAGAGGAATGCCTATTCATCTGAATAAGTTGCACGCATATAAGAATATATTCGGAACGTGTACTTCTCTCTAGATATTCAGACATGGTTATTATTTGAAAAATAGCAATACTGTCTCTTTATTTTTATAATTTTGTTATAATTATTACCATAACGGTCGAAGCTAAAAGAAAGAGACAGCGTTGCTATTTTTCAAATAACAACAGTCACGATGCGTGAATATATGTAGAGAGAATCACGCGTTTCGAATACGTCCCGATACTTCAGATAGGTAGACATCCCTGTCCTCGTGTATACGTTGCGTAATTTAATGTCTTTCACTTATTTAATTCTTGCGTATTTGTTGCAGGTGTTTTGCTGTTAGATGAGATGAAAGTTTCCAAAACCATCGCATTTAACCGTAACGACCTTCAAGTTGAAGGTTTTATAAATTTAGGGAAACACACTCCAAAACATCAGGCTGGAAAAAAAGGAGACCACGCATTGGTGTTCATGTTCCAACCTTTCAAGGGCAAGTGGGTGCAAACATTAGGATGCTTTCTTAGTTATGGAAGTGCTTCTGGAGCAGTTTTGCATCAACTTGTTATGGAATGCATCATTTTGGTTGAAAAATCCCATTTGAAAGTTGACGGGGTCACATCAGATGGTGCGTCTTGGAACCGCTCTATGTGAGACAAGTTTGGAGTAACAGAGAAGGAAGTCAGTATTTCGCAACGGGTCAAACACATTATTAAAAATTGATTATTGATTACACAGGCCTGCATGGTTTTGTTGATTGGGATTTAATTATGTTTTCTTACGTAATTTTTCGCGCTGAATCCGAATCCGGC